TGATACACTTCCTCCCTTAGAAACCACAGCATTTAGGCTTTGTCTTCAGATGATTCATCTAGCTTCTTAGTACCACCAGTCAGTGACTCTATATTTGTAATAATATTAAATAGTAAGTTGGCAAATGTAGTACCACCAGAGCAACAACTGGAAAAAATAAACAACTATTACTTACAAAAGAAATCTTAAAGCAAGACATTTTAAATGCTTGGACAATTATAGCTTTATTTCCAGTGTTTTCTCTCTCTCTCTCTCTCTCTCTCTCTTTTTAAATTGCTTTCATTATGGTATCCCCCAAACCTCAGCAAATACCAGGTTTATAAAATATCTGGTCTTCAGCTAATCACTGCTAATGTTTTCTAAGTCAATTTTTCTGAGGAAAAAGAACATTTTCTGTATCTTAGTGGTCAAAAAGGTACTTATGTTGACACAGCTTTAAAGCTTCCAGAAGAGATGATCCAAATTAAAAATATGTTGAACCACCAAATTAAAGCAAGTATGAGAATCTTCTCACTTAAATTTGATGCTGGAAAAACATGGTTACTAGAGAGATGATTTATCACGATATAGCAGATGAGTAAGTAAGTAATTCCACACCGTCTGCCTTCCTCCAAAGTCATTTGTGACGTTGAATGGTTTTCCTTTTCCTTCGCTTGAAGAAACAGCAGCACCTAAAATTGTGTCATAAAAACAATCTTATATAAACAGAAAAAATAAAGCATGCTTGATAAAGGTTACTTTATAAATATTGATGCAGTTTTGAAATTGAAGCCATTCAAAGAATATTAAAATGCATTATATTACAGCAAACAAAAATGTATAATAATGAAGGCATATAATATAGGTCATTGCATTATGTATCTAAACAGATGGTGTGATGAGATAGTACAGTCATAGCAGAACATCAAAATAAGCACAACACAGGCATTTTCTTATAAATCTGGTTTCATCAGGTGTAGAGAAACAATGTATCATTTATGATTGCTATGTCCCTTATTGTACTTTTTGTGAATTTGATGCCAACTGTCCCCAAAATAAGAGTTTGAAACTTTTTTTAGTTATCACAATTCCCTAGGCCCTGTATTTATTACTCTGAAAAAGATCAAGTTAGCATAGCTATAAAACATGTTATGTTCATTCAAACTTCTTATGTTTTCTTTCTACAAGCAAAACAAAAACAAAATATTAAACTTAGTCTTAAGTAGCTATGGCTTTCTTTGCCAAATATTTTAAAACTTGTGCACAAAAAAAAAAATGGGAATAATTCAAATCTTTTTTTGGAAATCTCTAAATTCTAAAGGTTACTATTATACCCACATTTCAGACTTATTCATCTGAAACTTAACACTTTGGATCCCTTTGGTGGGGTCAGTACTGCCTACAAAATGCATGCATGTTCAAAGAAATATCAGCAATTAAATGAATAACAAAAGTGTAAAGACATTTGGCATATATCTCAAATATTTCTTCAAATTTTGGCATTTTCATCTTCTTATAAAGAGCTATTATTTCTGTAATATTCATTCAATTTCTGTGAA